TGTCTGAGTAGTTGAATATAAAGCAGTGGTAAAAGTTGGCAAAGCCAAGGAAAGATTGTATGTCCTTGACCTTGTGAGGCTCAGGCCAGTCACAGATGGTCTGGACCTTTTCCTTGGACATTGTGAGGCTGGCAGGGGAGAGGTGGAAGCCAAGATATTTGACTGAGTCTGAGTGGAACTCACATTTCTCTGGCTCCACATAAAGGCTGTGAAGCTGAAGCTGGTGGGGAGTACCTCTCAGACATGCTGCTTATGGGACTCCTTATCTCCAGAGTAGATTAGGGTGTCATCTAGGTAGACAACTATGCAGACATCCAACATGTCTGCAAAGATGGTATTCACGAAGCATTGGAAAGTAGCCAGGGCATTAGTGAGGCTGAAGGGCATCACTAACCACTTGTAGGAACCATACCAAGTCCAGAATGTGGTCTTCAATTCATCACCTGGGGCAATCTGGATGAGATGGTAGGCATTCTGGAGATCAATCTTGGTATAGATCTTGGCTCAGCTTGGTGAGTCTAAGAGGTCAGAGATGAGTGGTAGTGGGTATTGGTCTTTCTTAGTGATTTTGTTCAGGCTGTGGAAGTCTATGCAGAGCCAGAGGGAGCCATCCTTCTTCTTAACAAAGAGAACTGGCACAGCATAGGGGGAGGAGGTAGGTCAAATGAAACTGGTGGTGAGGTTTTCATCAATGAAAGCCTGGAGAGCTTGGAGCTTGGCTGGGGACAGTGAGTAGATGGTGCCTAATGGCAGGGTTGTTCCTTCCTTGAGCTCTATCTTCAGGTCATACTCCTGGTGAGGCAGGAGTGCCAAGGCCTTGGTTTTACTGAAGGCATCAGCAAAATCATGGTACTCTTCTGGTACATTGGGTAAGGCCAGAGGAGAGGAAGCCAAGGCCAATTGGGCTTGAGCTGAGTCCAAGGGGTGGAGCTGAAGTTGGAACTGGACAGACCCTTCAAGTTTGCAGGTGCACACAAAGGCAGCTGCATTGATTAGGGAAACAAGGGGGGCCTTCAGGGGGGTGTGAGCCAGGGAGTCAGAGGCCAGTACAGATGGCACAAGGCCAGGTTGGTCACTAGGACTGGAGTTGGGGAGGCCAGTGGAGACTGGGCTTACAGGGGGTGTCAACAGGGTTGGAATTCCTTGTGCAGGAGTCTGGAATGTTAGACTGCCCAATACCCAATCAATCAATGGATTGTAGCAGGTGAGCCAGTCATGTCCAAGAACTATCCTACACTCAGAATCCAATGGGGCTAAGAACAGGGTTACCAGGGTGACATTTCCAGATGCAAAACAGATATTGACATCTACTGCTTGGGTTATAGTAAAGGTGGATGTTCCATCAAAGAGCTGGAGTCAGATTGGTGAGACTGAGTATGGGATAAAAGAGTGTTGATTAGCAAATTGATTATCTATAAAACAATGAGTGGAGCTGGAGTCCACTAAAGTATGAAGCTGAGGTAAATCATGACCTTCTAATGTGACATAGGGGGTTAATGAATTTGGGCTGGAAAGAGCAGATGTGTTGAGTCTAGCCTCCAAGTTTGCACAACTGGAGTCAACACAGCTCCTGGATTGTGCAGAGTCCTGGGAGCTGCTACTTATTTTTTTGTCTTGGGGGTAGAACCCAAGCCTGAGGCCGGTGTGGCCTCAGTGGTGGCTGCAGTGTGAGCCTTGGATCTTCTGGCTTTCTTGGGGCACTTCTCAGTGAAGTGGCTGGGGCCTCTGCAGAACATGCAGAGGCTGCCCTCAATGTGACACTTGTGTTCTTCTGGGGTGAGCTTCCCATCATTCCTGAGTTTGCTAGGCTTGTGCTTGGACAAGTTGCTGTTATTATTGTTGCCCAGCCTTGATGAAGCTAACTTGGGGGAAGGTCTGGAGTTGTTATTGTTACTGGTCTTGGCTTTCTCTTGAGTGGTCTTGGCTTGATTACTGTTGCTGGAGCCTCTGGACTTATTGTTGCTGGAGGTGGGCAAGCCTTGATGCTTACTTGCCTGTTGGACTTCTTCTTTGCACTCCCAATAGCATGCATCTATTTCCTATTTCCTGGGCAAGATGACATAGCTCATGTAGTGTCCATGGTTTGCCAACCCAACAGACTTCATCCTTGATCTGGTCTGGGAGTCCGGAGTAGAAGTGGTGGTGCAGCACACCATCACCATAGCCTCATACTTGTGAGGCAAGCTGATCAAAGTCGACTACATACCTGTTGATGTGCTGGTTATCTTTCATGTGTGAGTGGTTGAGCTGGCTCTCAGTGTCAGTGACTGGGTTGTGGGGGCTGAAGGTAGTTTGTAACTCTAGGATGAACTCCCTCCAGGAGTCCATCCAGAGAGGTTGGTCATCAGGGTTGTCAAGTCCAAGCAAGTCCAGCTCGAACCACTCAAGAGCCATGCCCTTGAGGTAAGACTGCGCAAAGATGACTTTGGCATGGTCAGTCCTGAAAGCCCAGGGTCAGTCTTGGAAATTAAGCTCACACTGGATAAAGAATGCACAAAGCTTCTTGGGGTTGGTACCATTGAAGGTATTGGGCTCACACAACTTGGTCCTGCTTGAGGACTCAGGACTAGTGCAAGTGTTGCAGGCCAGTAGCTTGATGGCCTTTGCAAGGCTGTCAAAGACCACAACTGTGGGTTCAGTGTCTGGGTCTGGGAAGTCCAGTTCATCCTCTGGATCATTCCCATCCAGATTATCATCACTGGGCCCATTATCACCAGAGCTGTTGCCAGGGTCATCATCATCAGGGTTGTTATTATCATCATCACCCAGCCCATCATCACTGGGGTCATTCTCAGGGATGGGAGCAGTGGGGTGACATGGGGTGGAAGTATTGGATGTTTGGGTGGAAAAGCCCCTGAAAGGACTAACAGGATCTGGAGAATGCCTAGTGGTCCCTAAGGTAGCTAGTGCTGTCTTGTGATGGGTTCCACTGGCTGAGGTGGAGTTGGAGTTGGTGGCAGAGTGACCATGGGGAGGTTGGAAATGAGTCTTGGTTGCCATGATGTGCTAGACCCACATGAGTGGCAAGTCTGAAATACTGTCAAGTTTGGGTTGTCTGGGTTGATGCTGGACCAGAGACCAAAGAGGGCATGAGGCCAAGGGGTTGGGATCAGGAGGAGGGTCAAAGATACAGGGGGGTGGACTGATTGGACTTAGTGACTGAGATTACAGTGCTATTCCCTTGTGTGGGTCTCAGTCTGAGTCTGAGGCTGAGGCAGGATTATCAGAGTAACTTTGTTGATTCCAGACTGAAGAGTACAGGCCAGGTATCTATGAGTTTATATACCAGAGACAACTATAGCATGGAGACTGGTAATGCCAGTCTTGCAAAGATTGCTAAGGTGATTGGTAAGACAAATATTAGTAAGGTATGACTAAGGTAACAGAGACTGGGAAAGGGTGGACCAGGGACAAGGCCAGGCAGAACTTAACCAAAGTGACACACACTGCAAAGCAGTGTTCACTGTGCTAGGACATCTGGGGTAAGGGACTGGCAAGGCCAAGGCCAGACTGAATGAGTGTGAGTCCAAGTCCAACTGGGGTCAAGGCATGACTATGACAGGTTTAGCTTCACCCTGACTTCCATACAAGTTCCCCCTTTACAGGAATGCACTAGTTAATGGTTGATTGGTTTGTTTATGATAGGATGAATGCCAGATTGGACCTCAACATCATTCTCAGCTCTCACAGTACTGAATTAGTTCCAGGACACATGGAGCATTGTTGGGGAAATAGTACAGGAGATGACTGCCAGCAGATTTCTGAAGAGACCAATGGTACTGATAGCATATTCTATTGTTTATACTATAGCATACACCAGTATTTGCTGAGGTTGCCCTGAGAGAATGTCCCTGATGAGCCAGAATGGTGATTTCTTGAGCTGTGCTACAGTAAGAAGGCTTAGTGGTGCAAAATCACTGTTTGGCATTATTTGTTTGTTGACAGATCATTCAGTAGACCATGTGATAAATTATGTAAGCATTGGTGAGCATCTTATATCATTTTATATGTGTTCCCATGGACTGCATCCCTAGTATGCCATAAAGTTCCAAAATTGTCCCAATGAGCTGTCATTTTCATTTGGGTATTCAGTCACCAGTTTTCATCCAAATATTATGTAATATGGCTCATTAGAGAGCCATGACCAGCTGCTTGGATCCATCCACCAACACCTTGAACTGGACAATGGTAGTTCACTGCCTACACCATGATTAATGAAAAACATGCAAACATTGGGACAATTTTATGAGCCACTGTATGCCTTGTAGAATAGGGGCTCAGGGATGGTGATGACTGGTGGAATATGTACACAATCCAAACACACCTTCTGCCATTCCTACCTGTCTCTGTTCCTCTCTACCCCATGATACCCCATTCTGCAGCCACAACAACCTCCACCCCCCTGCCACTTCCACTGCTACTGTCACTACACCCTCTGCACTGACTGGGGACAGTCAGCATTCGAAGTGCCCTGCAGGGGAGACCCACATACCACTCACTCGATCCAATGCCAAACACAGTTTGTTTCTCCTTATCTGTTTTACCCCAGGTTTTGTCCTAAGACCTCTGTTCCACCCCAGGTTTCATCTGGTGATTCTACTGATAGCTAGTCCTCACTCAAACAACATAAGAATCACTAACAAAAAGTCCAAAACCATCAAGAAAAATAACAAAACACCCAATAAGTATATAACTAAAACACCATCTCTCTTGTTACATTCACTTACTAAGTCTCACTGATGCCATCCTTGGCCACTGTATACCACAGATACTCACAACTACCCTGTACATTTCTTCTTCAAACATGCATGGTGGTACCCCACACACTCTACATTACCATGGCCAAACCAAGCTCAGTTTCCCACAGAGAGTAGTCAAGCACTCCATGTCATTTCACATCACAACCTCATACACAAGGGAGAAAATCAGTATATTGCATGCTCTGCACTCTGAGATGCAGATAGGACAACATAGTGAATCTAAACTAAGGACAATCACTCTTATTCAACCCCTATTTTCTCCAGCACCTCTGCAAGCTGGTCAATATGAACTTGAAGGCACAGGTATATGTCCTGTGACTCTGCAGCCTCAGCCTGCAACAGGTCTGCTGTGACCTTGGTGTTGAGCCCACCATGCACTGGGGCCTTTCCCTTTATGTGTGAGTGGCTTTCAACCACTTCAACATTGACATTGTCATCATCATTGGCCACCTTCTTGGATGAGCCAGCCTTGGGAGCCCTCAAGGTCCGCACTACAAGCTGTTGGCCCCAGACCTGCTGAGACAACTGCAGTACTTACCAACCAAAGCACCCACCTGTGCCTTCCTTCCAGCCCTTGTGGATTTCTCACAGCCCTGCTTGATGCATGTGCATCTGTGGCATGTCTGCCCTGCAGGTCTGATACATGGGGTCTTCTTTACCACACACCTCATTCAAGGCTCCTTGTGAAGGATGGACCCCAGCAGAACCATGACCTTGGGTATCTCAGCCTCATCCTTGCTCTCCATGCTCCATGACCATCTGCCAAGACCACTAAGGGCCCAAGTGTTAGCCTCTGCCACACTGTATGAGGAACTCACTTACCTTTTGTACAGGTTGGGACACCTCCACATGTGACATCTTCACTGTTGCAGCTGGCACCTCTGTGCTCACTCCCTGCTTTCCAACCTCCTGCATGGCCTCCTCTCCCATTTGCACATCCTTGTCAACCCCTCCATGCACTGCCATGGCAACCTCCTCTGTAGCCCACCTCTTGTAGGCCTCATCAGCCTCTGCCATGATTGGCCCATCCACTGCATTGATCCTCATGTTAACCCCCAGTGCCTGACCATGTTCAACAATGGGAAAGCCCTCACCCTGGCCATGGTCAATGATGTGACCCACAGGAGTGAGGCATGTGCTTACTGTTCTCTTCTCCCACCAGTGCATCCACAACACCTTTTCCTCCCACAGTTCCTCCTTGTCATCCAGGAGGCACCTAGCCTCAGTGACCAAAGCTGTAGAAGCAGTGACAAACTGCTCCCTCAGCATGGCCTTCTCCACTTCAACCAGGTCAGGGGTAGCCATGTGAATGAGCTGGGAAAGCCTTGGGAGATGATTAGCAGACATAGTACAAGTGTAAGAGGAGTTGATGGGGGGGGAAAGAATCAAACCAATGTGAAGGTTTGAGCCACACACTAACAAATATATACTTAGTGGCCATGAGGCACTTATGTCATTGGTCTGGATGCTTCTATGCAGCATTCAACAGTGTTCTTGGCTTCCTTGGCAACACACTCCCTTCACTTCTACACTGCAATCACTGGTGTTCTTGAACCCTCAGCACCACACCTTCTCCACTACCATGCAGCATCATTGTTTACATCCTCCACACCACATGGCTGACCAGGGATGGTCAGCATCTAAGTCCCCTGCAGGTGTAAGGTATCTGCATTCCCTAGACACATAACCCCCTATCATTGACATTCCACAACTATCATTATGTCCCCAGACCACTCACATCCACTCCCACTCATGTGCTACCTTCCTGCCTTCCTTGCTACCTTCCCATGCCCTCACTCCCTCTCATGTACTGCTAATACCTGCAGCTGCTGTGTTCTGGTCACTTCCTTTCCTTTGGACTCTTTTCTTTTACCACAGTCTCTGCTCCCTTTATGCTAGTAGTATACCCTTGGCCCCTATTGTAGCCTGTCCTGTGTGCATGCACTCTCATGCAACTTTCTTTTACTTGTACCTTGTCCTACTCTAGGTACAGAATGATACCTTTTGGCAGTTGGAAGGTCACTATGAGTTTTCTTTTCACTTTGTCTACACTGCACACCTTGCAAACTGCTGCACATGAACTACATATAGTGCTCACACTACTGTCATCACCAGTACAACACCATGGAACATGCCATGCATGCCATGAAACATTACCACTACAAATCACAGAGTCCCACCTTCTAGTCTCAGCAGTCCAGAATCCCTTGGGATGAGCAATTCATTCCCTTCATTTTATTGTTGCTATCTAAGCCATCTAGCTTGTATTATACAGCTACTTGGACTTTCCTTACATTGTACTCTCATTTGGCACTGAGATGCAGGCAGTTATTTTGTCCCTAACCAAACCCATGCATCCAAGGAAGACAGCCATTCCTTCTTTGCCCAGGGCCATAATCACCAGCTACAAAGCTATCAAATTAGTACAACATAACACATCCTGTTGTTATATTCCCCACAGGAGATTTCTTGTCATATTGCCAAGTTTTCATATAATGCCTGGTTAGCAAGTTGGATGAGCTGCAGCTTTTGTGACAACTGACACTTGTAAGCTGTACAGCCTTTGTATTCATGTATGAAATGACAGCAGGGTATTATTGGACTTTAATGCCATTTCCTATGATAGTTTCTTGCTATGTTTGAGTTTGTGGTCCAGCTATGGGTGAGCACAGGTCCAAGACTAGAAGTTATAGTTTGTGAGGAAACTCACCCAGTCACCAACCAATTGATCAACTGGCCTAGTCCTTGTCATGTTCTATGTCTTGTTTCTAGTGTTTTGCTCAGCCCAGCCTCAAGCCCCAGGCCAGAGGGAATAGTACTGTATTCACATTGCTAAGTAGAGACAGTCCATGCCTATAACCCCTGCCCACATCTGCCCCCTCCCCACTGGCCTTGCAACAGGACTTTCCAGTGGAGATGAACCAGACTTGAAACACATGCAGGACCAACATCTGGCAGGAACTGATTATTTAGGTTATTATATGCATGTGTTGCTCAGTGGTTTGCCAATTTACTAGGAAGTAGGGCATTAAGTGAGAGGGCAGTTGTCACAATGGAGAGAAAATGGTTGGGTCAGCAGAGGGATGGTTAGATGAGAAATGTTCATTATAGCTGCTGAGTCACTTCTGCAGGATTTGAATTGCACTTCAACATGAGTCATAAAGACAAAATAGAATGGCATAGAACATAGGTAAAGTTTGACTCTGGATAGCTGAGTGGCATGGCAAGTATATATATTGATTCAATCTATACAGAACAATTGCATCTTCCCCATATTTACTGATGTGGCAAATGTGGGGATTGTCAACATGAAGATTGGTGGCTCATCCAATTACAAGGGCAGAGACAACTGCAGATTTTGCAAGCTCCCCCCACAGTGAAGGATTCCAAAGGATCAGCATTGGTGGCCTGAAAATAATCTCTTCATTTTTCATGTGCATGTCACACCAATGAAAAGTGGAGGGACTCACAGCAGGCCCAGTAACCACTTGAAAAATATCCCCTCCTATGTCATCTTTGCTAATCCAAATAGAGGTAAGAAAGAGGTTGATTGGCATTGAGGGAATAGTATCTGACACATCTGATTTTCCTTTGCAATACCAACAAGGATGGGGGTTAAAACTTCAACATCTTCACCATGATGCTGAAATGCTTCTGTGATAAGTTTAGCAACAGTAGCTTGGACACCTGATGTTTGATATGTTCTGACAGCCTGTTCAAGGTTTGCCTGTAGATCACCATTCACTTTGTTGGCCGGCAACAAGAAGTACAAATATTCAAATACAAGTATAGCACCTGCAATTGGGTGTTATGGGTGTCAAATGATGACAAGAGAACAATTACCAATGCCATATGCTGCAACATATTGCAGTGAAGGTTTTTGTGAGATGCCCAAAGTAGGCATGTGGACAGAAGAAGAGTAATCAGTGATAGTAGGCTATAATGCTGTCAAGTCAGGTGATCTGTTGATGGCAGAAAGAAGGAAAATAAAACAGACCACCTGAGCAATTTGTGATGGGAGCATGTCAGGTGACATCAATGAGAAACAGGGCCACAAACCAACTACAAACTTTATCAGTGATCATCATACAGATTGAAAGAAAAATGAATGCACACATTCTACAGCACATATTAGCATGGGAAAGAATCCTGAAAGATTATGACTGACATGCTGATAGATGCAAGTAGAGAGATAAGGGTCAAATTGAAATGCCAAGTAAACATTGACCTACATCCTGAGATAATGTAAAATAAGAATGTGGACTGGATACATCAATTCAGCTCACCATCTATTTTTGTAATATGGACAACATGTTCAAAAAGGAGGGACCATGGTCAGAATGGTTCCACCACCTGCCACAGCTCCACTCACTTCCTATGAATGCAAGTCCAAAAGGGTGGGAGTGAACATGGTCAGAATCCTTCCACCACCTGCCATGGCTCCACTCACTCTCTATGAATGCAAGTCCAAAAGGGTGGGAGTGAACATGGTCAGAATCCCTCCACCACCTGCCATGGCTCCACTCACCCACTGTGAATGCAAGTCCAAAAGGGTGGGAGTGAACATGGTCAGAATCCTTCCACCACCTGCCATGGCTCCACTCACCAACTATGAATGCAAGTCCAAAAGGGTGGGAGTGAACATGGTCAGAATCCCTCCAGAACCTCCAGCACCTGATCCACCCACATGCTATCCACCCAATGCCACAGCCACATTAGTATTTGTTATATCCTCTTTTTTACTATTTTACACACTTCCTGTTGAAAAATCAGTATCTCCTCCAATCCACTCACTATCTTCTTACATATGGAAACCATCTTGAGAGGTAATATGCAAGACCTGCTGGTGTAATCTTGCCCACCATGCCATGCATGCAGTTCTTCAGTGTCCTTGCACATATCAGTACATTCTTATCCTTCTGCTGTCTCACCTACTTTGTTATTGCAAACTCCATACACAGTCCTAGATTAGATTGCTGTGTTGATATGAGGAGCTGCTGCAGTCCTTCCTCATTTAATGCATTTGCTGTGCATGTCAGTAGGGTTGTACAATCAGCACCCTCTTCTTGCATTCCTGCAGTCATTTCCTGTCAATGTTGTGCCATTCTCAAGTGATGGTTAGGATACTCACCAGTGAGTGACAGATAGTCATGGGGTGGAAACCTTGACTTATTCAACCAACCCTTGACCTTTATGAGACACTCCATCAACTTCCTTTTTTCTACCTCCAGAGCCCTTTCCATTGCATCATCTTCATTCAAACCACCATCAACAACTTCCATGAAGGCATCCAAGGCCAAGGTATCTGTTTTTGTTAGCAATACAATTACAGGAACTGTGACAAAAAAAGTGAAATTTAAAACCATCAATGAGAGTATGGTCAATATACACACCATGCCCTGTATCACACATATCAAAAAACTTCTTTTCTGCAGCTGTGACCATCCTGTGGCTTTCATTCAAAGGAATGCAAAACCTAAATCCATCACAGAAACCATGTCACTTTGCTTAGGGTGTCAGATGCAGTGTTCCTACCATATGGCATGGATTCTCTTGTCCAGCTTCATTGTCTTGGCGCGATCCATCACGAATTCCTTCATCATGTCAAACTCCCCTTCACTTCCGGCCTCGAATCCACGTGAGTCATGGAATACGAAGCGTCGGTCACTCTTGAAAACCAGCTCATCCTCAATGTTGTGTTCACCACGCTGGATGCATTCAACCATTCAGCGTACATTGCAGAATATTCATGAAGTCACTTCACCTTTAGTGAACCCTGCACCAAGGTAGCATCCACCTGAATAAAGCCCGACACATCGTTAATCTCGAGCAAATACCAGGAAACATACACACCTTCTCTCCTTCCCCATTAAAAATTTCTGGTTGATCCGTAGTATTACAGACCCTCTGCAGGATCGTCGTTTTACCTGCATTGGCTCTGCCCATGACTAGAATGCGAAAGCGATCGATGCGATCGATGTGCTCTCTAGCTTTCGCTGGATCTAAGCTAATCATAGGGGATATAGTGGTTGACGCTGCTGATCAAGGTTCCCAGACTTGTCCCATGAGCAGTGAGCAGCAAGTACAACGCTTACCCGCGGCTACTTCTTCAGTGTGTGCAGGAACAGGAGTATCCGTACTCTCTTCTGGAGAACATAGAACGGCGGGTTGCGCCTCGATTAGTGCAGGAGCGAGAGCACCTGTACTGTTTGATGGAGAACCTGGTCAAGTAACTAAGTACGCTTAGGAACCACATAAAGAACGCAGTGCAACCACCTTGAATAGAGGCAGGCACGGGAATGTTCGTGTCTCTAGGGCTAGGCCTAGGGCCCAGAGAACGTGCGCGAGTGTTCTCGACTACCTTGTCAGCACGAACGTCCCCAATATTGGCCGAGGGAGAGCCAGAGCCTTCGACAGGAACTTCAGTCAGCACAAGAACGGGATCTATACTGGCTGTGGGCTGAGCAGCTCCAATGGGAGCAGGAACTTGACGATCAACTGGGTCGTCGCTCGGAGACGGCGGTTGTCGAATACAACACAACGCCTTGAACCATTCAGGAGCCATGAATAATGAAACCTTGAAGTTCTTGGAATGTCGCAGGAGTAATAAGCGTATAGTTCGAGACGAAGATGGACGCGTGGAGAGGGCGTGGAGTTGCGGACTGTTGGTCGATATCAAGGTGGCGGCTTTTTCCGACACGAGCACACGTTCTGATTCAAAAAATAGTTCGTCAAGTCGACACTACTATTACATTGTTTGATCTATACTGCTCGGGTGTCTGTGGTCATGATTGAGTGTATCGTAAGGAAAGATAGAACTGGACATTTTAGAGATTGCAAGGGATCACATGTAAGAGTGGTGAACGGTGAAAGAAAAAAAAGAGATTAGCATGTAATTTTGGAGCCTGAAACTAGATGTTCGGCAGAATAATGCGTAAGATACCACAATTAGAAGCGTCTAAGGAAATCGAAAGTCAACGGAATGGATGAGGGTAATTTGGATACATCCCGTGTATCTGGTAAGCAAATTGAATAGGATAGCTAGATAGAATACGAACAGTAAGAAACATCGTGGGGGGAAGATCATACCACTGTCGCAAGAGGGATTTACAATCAGGCAACGCCAATCTCGATAAAACTTCTCCACTTCCACTGAAGACATGCGCTCGTCCGGATCAGGCCTTCAGATCGATGAAACTACGCAGAGGAAACCATGATTCAAGTGTACTCCAGTCGTTTGCGTCCGCGAGACATGGCTGTGGAGGCAGGTGAAGCTCCAACAACATTGCCTACAAGGTAGGATGCAGCTGGGGCCGAGGTCGACATGGCGGGAAGGGACGAACTGCTTGCCGACGCAGAAGGCCCAACAACGAGCATCGTCCTGGATAAAAATAACGGCACAGACCGTGCAGGTGAGGACGAGAATCGTTTCCGGATACGCTGATTATCATCTGGTTCAGGCCGTACTTTGTTGCTCACGAAGAGACACGAAGAATTGGAAGGGCTCTGCCCTTCCTCAGCTCCTTCATCCTCTACGTCCCCCATCAAGCCTATGTCCTCAACACAAATGGTCAGCGCAAGCCGTATCTCCTCTCCCCGAGGGCGAGTAACAATTATATCCCGTCTGTTGCTCTCACCTGTCACCCTCTTCGTCCTCGCCGTCGCTCATACTCATGAAGTTACTCATTCAGTGTCCATCTCCACGCCCACTGGCCCCACACTCCCAATCTTCCCCTACCTTCTAGACAAGCTAACGCATCCATTCTACTCCGCAGTTCTGGCCGATGAGGTGATGCTTTCTGAGCGCGCAGGTGAGGACGCGCGACGCTGGTGATGAAGCTTATGTGTGTCCGCTCCACTGTCTGAGAACGCCGGTGAACGAGGAGAGAAAGGTGGCGGTAAGAGCAACGATGAATCGTACTCGACAAGAGGGACTGAGTGGGACGCGCGGCGATGTGAAGATCGGGGCGGATGAGGTGCTGAGACGAGTACGTTCAGAGATGACGTATATGAGGATGTAGAGGGTGCAAGCGAAAGATACGGATGCGATGGTTGCACCAGTCAAGAATGTGAAGGGCTCGGAGGTGCTGTCCTCGTTCCCTTCTGCATCGGCAAGGAGGAAGGCGGCTGCGACTCTGCACTCGGAGGGTTGTTGGGTAGTAATGTGTGACGGTCGCAGGACTTGGTCACACTAGTAAGAGTGTTTCCGTCGAAAGGTCTCAAGCGTCGTTCGTCAGAACTGGCCAAGGGTCTCTCGATAAAAACTGCTCCCTCCTACCTACTACATGAGTCTTTATATACCTACGTACACAAAGGACTGTACTAAAGAGGAAGTATCAAGGCTGACATATTGTACTTGGTTCCGTTGTCGTATCCGCGGGAGCGCGGGTCGTTACATCCGCCCTCCTGATCTTCTGGGGAGATCAAATGGTCACACTCGAGACGACTAAGATCGAGTTCGTGAGGATGAGATAGAGCAGTAGGATAATGATGAATTTCGTACCCGGACTGAGGCCGGTGCTAGCATCACCACCTGTGGGAACAGGTTCAGCATTGATGATTGTGTCGAGCAGTTCGTCCAGGGTTCCAGGCTCCTTACGAACTGCAGTAGTGGGGTTGGTGGCGCTCTCGCTGCTGTCCGTCTCTGCAGACTGTCGTGCCCGGGATGATATGCCGAATGCCAATAGCAGGAGTGGGGTGAAGTTGCGTCAAGCCTTGGCAGACGGCAGGTCGTTGGTAGGGAGTGAATCGCATTGTCACGTCGCGGGTATTGTCGCCCTTGTGAGGGGTAGTGTGGACTTTCCGCAGGTGTTTTCTTCGTGGCCCGCTGTTAGCACGTACAGTTGTAGTGGCGCTGGTTTCTATCCTGCGTTTAGTTCGTGATCTAGATACCATTTCAGGTGTTTTCTTACGAGCTCTGGTGTCAGCTTTGAACCGATCGAAGATCATCCCAGAGAGGGAGTTCCCTCTGTTGCGGCGGTCTCGGTGACTGATTGCTCCATGTCCCCGAGGATGAAGGGGCTTGCGAACGAACCCATCTGGTAGTGGGTAACGAAAAGCCGGGTCCGGGTGTTCAGCATTAGTCTCGCAAAAGGTGACATATCCGGCAGGGAGACGGTCCCTGGTGAGATCAAAAGTTCCAGCAAGGATGGCCTCAGCCGTGACCCGAAATTGTTCAAGCTGGAGTGGTTGGAATACAGGGCGCGGCATTCTGGTGTGGACGTGGTACTGGGTGGTTGAGAGCCTTCGCCGTCCTTTATATATTTTCTTGTGAAGGTTAGAACCCGAGGAGATGCTCTGGTGAGCAGGCATAACTTGGTTTGACGTCGTGAAAGCAACACCGGTTACTACGCCATCGATCAGGTCAAGCGCGCGTGTGCAACGAGTGGCCTCATCATACCAGGTGCCAGATAAAGTGAACCTCTTTGTTGGGATGGTTCACCCGCCTCAGGAGGTCATTGATGGATGAGGCACCCTGTGCCTCGAGGTAGTGTGTCAGGGCTTCGAGTCGTTCCACTTCCGGGTAGGGTAGCCAGATGGAATCCCCACTCGTGTATGCTACTTCGAACAACATGTCCGGGCCTTGACCGTGGTGGTCGTTTATGTGCTTTACTGTGAGCTCTTCGACTTTGCCCAGACTGACTATCTGTGGGAGCTGGCGGCCTGGAAATCATCGGTCATCGTTTGGCACGTGGATACGCAGTAAGCTCGCGTGAAATGCTGGGTGTACTCCGCGTTGTTTGAGTTCTGCGGGAATATCCAACAAGAAGGTGTTGTTGCGGTAGTCCTCTGGTATGCGGAAGGGGCCGATAAATTTAGGGGCGAGTTTCCTAGCATGACCCTTAGTAAGTGTCAGATTGGCAGTGGACAGATATACCAGGTCACCCTTTACAAACGGGGTTTCCTTTCTCCTATTGTTTGCTAGTCGAGTTTGTTTGACACGAGCCGTGATGATAGAGTCATGGGCACGCATGATTGCATCTTTCATTCGTTTGGCAAAGGTCCTAACACCTGGGTATTTAGTATCTGTTTCCCAGATCATAGTTTTAGGTACACGACCGTAGTTGAGTGCGAATGGGGCAAACCCAGTGGTCTCGGACCGAGCGCTATTGATAGCAAACTCGATTGCAGGTAGTTTAGTTGCCCAGTCTCGCTGGTTAGGTGAGATACATGACCTGATCATCTGGGTGATGGTGCGGTTAGCTCGTTCTGTCATACCATCGGTTTGTGGGTGGTAGGAGGATGACAGTCGGAGCTCTGATCCGGTGAGCTCATTCAAGCAAGTCCAGAACATACTTGTGAATAATGAGTCACGGTCACTGACTATGTTCCGTGGCATTCCGTGGTGTTTGTACACACGATCGAACATGACTTCCGCGATGTCTTTAGCACGGTAGGTTTGTTTGGTTGGTATTAGGTGGATCATTGTCTTCGCATATCGTAGCTGTATGAGCTCGGAGAGGGAAAGGTGTGGGATTGGTGGCTGTATGATATGTATGAGCAGGAGTGGGCAAAGGCTGCGAAGCACCTTCCAGCCATGATGAGAGGGTGATCTGAGACGAGCATCAGCTGCGGATCCTGGGTTTTAGGAGGGCCTTGTCCGACGCGACGGGCTGACGCTTGGATCCCCAACAGATAGGAGGACAATGGCGTTTACTTACGATACATGTTTGTGGGCTCAGCGGACTGGTGGCATGGCGATGCATACAAACTCGGTAGCTGTTTCTGTAGGCATGGCTTGTATGTATGGTGTGAGGATTTGGTTGTGTTTCCAGTAGATAGAGTTGAAATGCATCGCTCGCCCACCTCCCTTTGACTTTCATAACTTCGAAGGGAACTCCTCGGAGTAGATATTCCAGCGTGGCTCCTGTCTTCAGTCCGTGTCTGTGCACGTGGTCGTGCCCCACTGCTTTGGCTAGCTTCTTCATTCGTGAGATGAAGGCGTGGCGGGTTAGCGGTTGATGTTTGCCTCCCTTCTTGTATGCAAATAAGGGGCCATTCTCGGGTGGGCTGTTGATTAGTAGGTGCCGGGTGAACGCTGCGTGGGGGTCGGATGGGCCTGATTGTTTTGCCCAGTTCACCTCTTCTCCCTGGGGGTTAGATTTTGTATTTGGCAGTAGGAACACCGATGTGCTGAGGCCGTTTCGGTCGATGTCTTCACATACTCCTTTGGGGGTGATATGGAGTGCTGGGTCGAAGGAGTCAAGGCGTTTGACAGTGAACTCTCCTACTCTGGCGGCTGCATAGAATATGGTGGTTAGGCAGGCGAAGACCACTACGTCCATGGGGTCCTCACTCTGTAGCTGCCTGTGAAAATCGCATATCATCTGTACTGTGATTGGTCTCTGGAGGTTCTGTTTGGAAGAGGAGGGGGCTATCTTGGCTGCACCTTTTAACATTGTCACTGTCTGGTCCTCGTGTATTATCCAGGGCAGACCATTGAGAGTGTGCCAGGCATGCACATCTGTAGATGTAGCCATGTATTGTCTTGCCTGAGTAGGAGCCAGCTAGGGATGATATGAAGGTGGAGATCAAGACAGTGTCTGCAGGAGCTCTTTCCTCCTCTGGGATGTCCTGGCTATTGCAGAAAACGTGGTATACTAGAAGCCCAGCCCCATATGATGCTCTGGTGCTCTCATTCCATCCCCTGAGGGTGATGTCTCGAACCCTATCCCAGAAGTCTGGTGGGATGTTCAGAGACTGTACAATGCTGAGATGCAGGTTGCCATTGCTCTAATCTGTCTTTTGCTGGGCATAATGGCCGCAGTTCGGATGGTTTGGGTGTCAGGTTTGTTGGGTAGGGGAGAATGATGGTAGGTTTCTGTGAAGAGCATGATTGCTGGGCAGCTGGTGTCACAATGGTGTTAAGGAAATTTATGCTGGACTGTGAAATCACTGGAGCATGGGTCATCAAAATTGAATATGAGGTGTGTGATGGGGTCTGGGATTGGGATGGGAGGGAGAGCAAATTTGGAGGGGGGATAGATGCCCCAAGAAGGTTTGTCTGCTGGGTTGTCTTCACTTGGGACATAGTCTGTGAAAATTCTGTGTGGGGGAGAGGTGAGTAGAGCATGGATCCTCTGAAAGGTTTCATTTGTGGGTCTGTTGTTGGACAGATGATGATGAGGTAACATACAAGGAATTTGAAAGCCATGCTCTCTGCCCAACTGATGTCCCTCTCATCTCCCTTCCAGTTTGCATGCAACTTCCAGGCTCTCCATCTTTCCCTGATGACAATTGCCAGACCGACACTGGAGCTGGCATCTGAAAATGCACAGAGGTCTATTGCTGATGGGTGGATGGGGATGGGGATGGGGAGAGATTGTTGTAGGGCATTTTTCCACCAGTGTAGTTCGTTTTGTAAACCTCGAGGTGGAGTGCAGGGCATGAATGGTTTTTCGCCAAAAATGGTAAGCATAGCTTGTAGGGATGTTAGGCAAGCACTTCCCCCTGGGATTACTAGTGCTGCATGGGCAAGTCTCCCGTGGAGTTTCTGTACCTCTTCTAGGTTATGCACTTTCTTTTACAGCCATTCATCTATAGATGTAGTGTATTTCTCTCTTTTGTTTGCTGTGAGACCTACTGTTTTATCATCTAGATTTCATAGGAAGCCCATGAATGTTGGTGACTGGGAAAATGGGGTGTCCTTGGAGGGTTCCCAGGGTATTCTGAGTTGATCTGCTACTGCATTGATGTGTTTGAAGGAGTAGGTGTAAGTGTTATTGTGTGAGGCAAATTCATTGGTGTCCTCAAAGGCTTTTAGGGGATGGAGGCAATCTTCTGCAAGTTCTTCATGGTCCCTGTTGGCTAGTTTTGTGCCTTTGTACCATAGCTGTCTGCTGTCTATCTTTGTTCCTCCATTTTGTGAGATTGTTTTGGCTTTCTGGGCCCTGGCCAGGTTGTATTTGAGTACTCAGGATCTGGGTAAGTGTATGAAGAAATGGTCATCTACTCATGCTATTATGGGGCTGATTCCCTCAGCTTGCATGATATTTAAACTTGTGTCCCTGAGTCCCCCATAGACTCCTGCCAATGGTCCATACCCAAAACACAGTGTTGTATCAACTGCAAAGGTCAGTGGTGTTTCTGAGAGGCATACTACCAGACCTGGCCACTGGGAGGGGTGGATGGGTATCATCCTATAGGCTTCTGCTACATCTCTTGTTGCTCCTTGGCATCCTGGGGGGAGTGACATTATTAAAGCACACATTGTGAGGAACATTCCCCATGCACATGGGAATAAAGAAGAATCAACACAAGAGTTGATTGAAGCAGTGGCACCATGTCTAGGTATGATAGGGTAAGATAGGTTTTGTATTAGTTAATACTTTCCTGGCTTTCTAGGTTTTGGTATGATACTAAGGATGGAGGATTGGAAGGGTCCTATGTACTGTTCAAGGAGGTGGGGAGGGAAAGGGCCTAGATAGCAACTCTGTGCAAACTCTCTGTTGACTATCTCCTGGAAAGCATGGTGGTGTTGGGCTATGGATGGGCTGTTTGGGGGGGTGTATGTTTGGGGTATGTTAGGTGCATGGACATGGAAGCCATAGGTGAGTTGGTAGATTAGGGATGGGTATTTAGAAGTGAGATGGTGATGTGCAAGTAGTCTCTCCCAGGCTTGAGGGTGGTATGGGGTTTGGGTGACTCCTCTCTGTCTTGATTCAAGTGGGTTGGCAGTGGGGACAGTCCTGATCTCCATGCTTTGAGTCTCCACAGCCCAAACACTTGTGGCAGTGCAGTTTGCTTGTGCAGCCACAGGGGCATTCAAAATCCCAGCAGAGGATGCAGCTGCTCTTGTTGATGAGGTGGCCTTGGTGGTCCCACATGCTATAGGCTGGGGTTGATTTGTCCCATTGCATGGGCTCATTGCAGAAAGGTCAGTCCTCATGTCATCCCAGGCACTTTGGGCATACAATGTAGGTTCTGGGGTGAAAGTCACAATGGCCCCTCCTCTCTCTGCTGGGGCTTCATCATGGGGATTTGGAGTGTTTGTGTGGTGACTGCAACCTGAGGTGGTGGGATCTAGATCTCTGATGGTGCTGCCTTGTCTTCTGGCCCTGATTATATCTGGGGGAGGGGGAGCAGGAGGGCTTGCACCTCTGGAAGCAGTAGGGCTGACAACCTCTCTCTGTCATTTTGGGCTGGGTGAAGCGGCTGTGCTGAAGCTATTGTGCAGGTTTTTTTTTTTTTTGAATTTAAAAATTTGTATAAATATTGTATAAATATTTTGGCACATGGGCAGCAGCAGCAGTTTGTTAAAAGGTTCATCTGGTGTGATGGGGAGAAGCAGAAAGGGGGGGGAGTGGCTGTTATTTTGGCAGCAGCAGGGTGGGCAGGGCATGATGTGCAGCAGCAATGGGAAGAAAGGATTGGCTGGTGTGGGTGGGAGTATGTGGGGGGTTGACAGGTGAGAAGGGGATGGGTTGTCAGTTTGATGTTCTTCCATCTAGGAAAACTGTGGGGGGGGGACTGACCTGATCAAGCCCTGATTGCATGTCCCTTGTGTCTAGGTCATGTCCTATGTCTGCTAAAAGGTCTTTGTTGATAACTCTGATGTTGTATGCTTGGTTTTGTGCTGCCTTGTCATGCCAGTCTTGTTGAACCTTGGATGCATAGTGCAGCAGAGTTTGTTCCCCATGATCTCCTTGGTCTTGAAGTTGGTGGTTGTCTATCCCGTGGAAAAACCAATTGAAAGCATTGACCAGCTGGTTGCCCCATCCTGCATTCTTGATACAGGTCAGGAAGTGGTTTTTGGCATACATATACTTGGTGAAGGTTAGTCCATGGTCTGGCTTTGCATTCCTGGAGGTGGTAAGGGAGTTTGCAGTCCATAGCATTACATTTCCTTCACCAGCCTGGGTAATAGCTAGAGTATCATTCTCCTCCAGTCACCTGACTGACTATGCTGCCTCTCATAGCCCCTCCCTCATGAAGTACCACATATGGACAAATTTGAAAGCTTCAATTTTTTTGAGGGCATACTTGGCTGGTCACATCAGTAGTTTGGAGGATACTATCATGTCTGCATCAAAGATGGGGGGGCTGGTTTCAGGGGGTTGTTGGGGAAGACATTCAGGGTCAACAGGTGGTGGTTGTACTGGAGGGGGAGGGGGTCTGTGTTCTGCTTCCTGGTGTGGTTGGTCCCCTTGTTGGTGATCACCTTGTGGGTTGTCCTGGATCCAGCACTGTTCCAGAGCTTCGATGGCTTCCTCCCAGGACAGTTCTGCCCCAGCCATTACAAGTTCAACTACACCCTGGAAGGCCAGCAGGGCAAAGTCAGGGAATTGTGGCTGTTGGGATTGCTGGGCATCCATAGTTGCAGCTCTGGCTGCCTATGATTGCCTGAAATCTGGGGTGAGATTGGGGCAATCCTCAGAAAAAGGTGAAAAAGGAGTGTGTTAGTTAAAAGAACACTAAAGGAGTGATGAGAAAGAATGAAAAACTGAATGATGAGAAGCCCACACTGTGGGCTGGGTTCTGATGATGATGGAAGGAAGGAAAACTGATGCATGTGGCTACACAGCCACTTGTGCAAAGACAATATTCTATTACTTGTTATACCTCTTACATACTAGAATCTCTAATGTTAAGTGGTCTATGACAACTAATATCATATCAAATGATCCATTGAGCATCTTAGAGTCTGGGAGCAGTCCTACAAAGTCAATCCCAATTGTCTCCCATACTTTGTTGACCAAGTCATGATTGGGAACAGAAGGATGGCCATTAGTGCAATGGTGGTGTTCAAGAACATTGATGGCAGTGCCACATTGGGAACCCTAAAATAACAATCTGAATAAATAAAGCTAGCAGGGATGGCATTTTCATACCTCTGGCTGAGCCTTGTCCTTGGATTGTAAGCTTTGCAGAGCTGCATTGTCATCCTTGTTGCATGAGTACTGAAACTCATGGTCAAGGGGTAAGGAATTGTGGCAAATAGGATTGCTTGTCATTGTTTCTTGGGAGAAGCCTAACAAAGAATGTTGAGCCAATACCATAATAACCTCTGATGCATACCAGGATGAGTTGATTGCCTAAGATTCATTGCATCCCATCCAAATGTCCTCATCTTTGTCAGACTCATTGCCAGAGACCTGGCCAGCCTCTGTGTCCAATGGGTTATTACTCAAGGACTCTGACTCCTCTTCTGAGGAGCCCTCTGATGACAGCTTCTCTGAACTCTTGTGGCAAACATCAGCGGTTGCCAAAGTTTGTCTCAATGAGAGTGACTATCAAGGGAGGGGTCAATACAAGAGTCGGGGAAAGTAGCAGGTGGCTGGTGGGGGATAAACTGAGACTGGTAGTTGGGCTGGGGTGTTGGTGGATGAGATGTATCACTGGGAACTTGGTCTCCCTGAATTGCAGTGATATAAGGATTATTGAGCACTTGAAGGTCAGGTTCCATCCCAGGAGGCATGATATGACCTGGCTGTTGAGCCAGAACACTGAAACCAAAGTGATGGGAGTCTGTGGGGCACTGATGGAAGACAGGTGTTGCTACTGCTGTTGAAGACTGAGGGACAGGATTCTGAAATGAACATTGTATATCAGTATGAAAAGACACTCACTGGAGGCATGTCAGCTGGGCTAGGATCATTCACAATGGGAGGTGCATAGGGTGGTGGGGTGACATTGGACTTTGCAAGCAGTTAGCTTGATATTTGCAAATAACTAGAACTGACCATCAGTTTTGCATTCTGGCCAGCACTGTGGCCCCCACCCTTTTTCCACCAAGTGGGCAGAGGTGCAAGAGGATTTATAACAGAATTGTTGGGGAGATCCATCAACTTTTGCAGCCATGTAGCTCAGCCTTCAAGGGCAGTACCAATCTGCTCCAATTGCTTGGCCCTTCCACCTGAACCTGCCCCTGCCCTTCCGCTACAATGGAATCCCACTGTGGCAACAGACTGAGACTCTTCGAGATTGACAGGTGGGCTTCCTAGATGCTTGTTTTGTGTGGGTCAAGTGCTTCTGTTGGCCTCTGGTCATTGTTTGGCTTTTTTGCTATCCTTCTTTTTCAGCAGGATTGTTCCAGATTGGGTGGACATCTGAAGGTACAAGCAGTTAAGCAGAGAACAGTATAAGATGGAAGCCTGGGGACCACAATGAAATGACATCTTGTGAATCCATATAATCATTGACAGGTTCATTGTGAGATGTAAAATGAAATGAGGTGCAGAGACAGTTACCCACTGCAAATGAATTGAAACACTTTACACATAATGTACAGAACATGAACTAAACATAAAATTCATGCTAAGACTACATGCCTTTGAAGCATTTATTGGGTATAGGAGGGTTATCCATGCTCGTTACCTCTTCACAAAGGCATTTAGAAGACATAATTGCTGAAGACATAACATCCATATCATTCTCCTGACTCAGATGCATGCTTGAATTAAGCACTTTGTGCTGGGCAATGATCTGCTGGAATGCATTTGTCATCTCTGGTGGTTTCTTGTATGGCATGCTGGCCAAGAAATGATCAAAAAGGGAGATAACATCAGAGAACTGCACTGCAGTTCTGCTCAGCAGGGACCACCCAAGCAATACATGCCACTCGTTGTCACACACCAAAGGTGTTTGGTGAGGTGGACATGGATACAGCTGATGAATGGAGATGAAGACCATAGCCCTCATGCAAAGAAGGACAGCCAGAAATGTTGGCAGTCATCCCTCGCACAAGAACAAGTCATCAGTGCCAGAGAAAAAGAAAGGGAGTGAGTTAAGTGCTGGCTAAAATTCTTAAGTGCCCATGTATGGCATTCTGGTTTTTGACATATCTAGTGCTCAGCCACATGATCTTACCTTCCAAAATTGGAAAGGATTTATGCACTCCACATGTTTCTACAGCACTCCCTCCAAAAGATGCTCATTTCACTAAATTCTTCTGATATGGCTGCCTCTACATCAGTCATTTTGCTTGTCCCCTTTGCTAGGGACCATGGCTACATATATCTACCAGGAGTTCCTACCAGCTTCCATCCTGAAGCATCCTGGTACATCCCACCCTCGTCTGTGCCCTCTCAGCCCATCCAGCTTGGACAGTGTGTTCTTTTTGTCAGTATGACCTCTAGGAGGACATTCTTTGGTTGCCTCAGGTCCATCATTTGCTTGGAAAGGTCTTATGTGGTCATTTCAGTCTCTCCAGTCCAAGAAGCATATGGATCCTTCCTCCCTGCTCCCTGCAATGTCTTCATACCAGTCTCATACATCATTCTTCCAAGATTGCAACAGCCACAGTATAATCTACTGTTCCCCACTCTCCCTGATCACATCCATGATGAGTATGATGCACATCTTGCCTCCTTGTTGCAAGATACAGCAGAAGACACTCCCCCTTCATCCTCTCTTCCAACAGAGCCTCATTCATGAAGTTTTTATTTGCTTCACTGAGAGGATGGTTTGGGGGGGAAAGTTGTGATCCCCTATGCTCCTGTCACCCCACAGACCCCCAAAGCTTGACCCCTGTTGACATCTGACTCACCCTGTCCACTTTTGGATGTACTATATCAGCATCAGATCAGTGCTGCCTCTCTGTCATCCCACCTTGGCCTAGAAGCAATCTCTTCAAGATGTGACATGCACAGCCTCCCCCTAATGTGATTCCAGTGTGCTTTCCCAGTTCCTGACATCACTTGACTCATACTTTGATGTTCTGACTGTCTTTGACTCACCTGTTGCCAATACTTACCAATCTTTTGACTTTGCTTACTGATTCTTTGCTTTTTGGCTTGCTAATCCTTACCAATGCTTACCAATGCTTTCCAAGATGATTACCCATTGCTTACATTCCTTACTCATCAGTTACCAATTGCTTACCAAGTGTTTGCACCTTGTTTTCCAAGGGCAACACCCCTGTACTGTATATAAATCACTGTACTTAGATAGCAAAAAGAGAAGACATCAGAGAGCCCCTCTTGCTTGCATTTTATCATCACTCAGTAATTCATTCAGCAGCTTTGATAGTTGAGACTTTATTAAGGGTCTAACTATTGTCTACTTTGCTTATCCTTGTCTATCATCAATATACTTTGCTCCAAGCCCTCCCTGAGCTCAGTGCAGCTTAGGTCATTGAATTAAGTTGTCATCCATCCTTCTGTAGGCTGACAGCAGTCTACCCTATCACATTCTCTTGCATTCCCGCATCTTCTTCATCAGGAGCACCCCCAACCCTCAGCACTTGTCTTTGATTGTTGTAGCTCATAAAAACCCTCCCAAAGAACAGGTTCTACCATCCAGGTACTGCATAGGCACACCACCACTCACTCATTTTGTCTTTTGTGTTGGTTTTGGTTGGTTTTCACCACTGAACCACACTTTGACTCACATCATTAGCCAGAGGGATTAGATGTTGAAAACATTGCAAGACCTTGGAATCCAGCCTTGATTCAGATGGGTCATTAAGGACTGTGAACTTAGCACATCTGGCAATTTTGAGATCTTTGGCTGCCTTTTCACTCCACAAGCCAAGAAGTGTCTTTTCATGGCTGATATCTTGATGCTTGTGGCCAAGTGGCCCATCATAAAGGAATGAGGATCCAGATGAAAACATAGAACAGGGATTCAATATCATCTGCAAATGTATGGTGTATAGTAGTAGGGTGATTGATGAATATGTGGGTGGGAGAGGCACTTTTCCAGATTGATGGGACATTAGTCTTTCCACTTTTAGTGATGGCTTCCTTGAGTTGGCAAAGGATATTCACTGAAAGGAAGGGGACTGTCCCCTTTGTGTACTATCAGCTTCAAGTTCCAAAATGTTTTGCACAGTACTTACTGTGCCACCCAAGTCATATTCCCCCTGTAACATGACCCATACAGCAAATTCCCAGTTGAGGAGAAAGCTGTGCAACACATTTGTGAAGTCCTCAATCATCGTATTGTTGATGCTACAATCTCGATGGAGGACACCCCTCTTGAGAGCCTGCTGTTGGACTGTTAAAGGAATTAGTATTGATTTTACAAGTGGAAGAGGATATGTACTTTGTAAAATATCTTGGATGCATGAATCGAGTTCCTTTTTTGTCTTGAACATTACCATTGGCCTTGCACATGGCTTCATAGCCAATCACACTGTGAGTTCTCCTGAGACTTCATGCACAATTGATCACCACTTCTCATCATGATATCATTCAGTTTTATTGACAATGCCCAGCTCGACCTCAATGACCCAGTAGTGTTGCAACTTGGGAACTCTGTCGATGTCCTGGACCAGCTTCATCATGTTGACTTCATGCAGGGCTGTCCTCTGCTCCAACTCCTCCACCCAATAATCCTTGATGACATAGTATTCCCCATTGTAGCATGTGAGGTAACAAACAGTACCCCTTCCTAGAAAGCCTGTGCTTGAGAATAATACATTGAGCACCTCATAGAAGGTCTTGTTTACTTGGATCCTCCCAATTGCTGGGATGTGTTCGGGTGATGCAGGAGTCAGGAGTGAGTTTGCACTGGGGAGGATGCCTGACTCCAAGTGAGGAGAAGGCATTGCAGGAGAGGGGAAAGGGGTGAGAGGTATCGCAAGTGCTGTGCCTTTGTGGCTGTGTGCAGGATGGGGGGATATCTCTATGGTCAAATTGAAGCCAAGGGTTGAGCAGGAGCTGAATGCAATGGCACATACAATGTATATGAAGACTTCTGCATCAGTGTGGATATTGATAGAGGGTGAGATTGCACCACCGGAGTGGTTGTAAAAGTGAAGTTGAAGAAGTTCACTATCAGTGATTGATAATCCAAGGACATAGCACCTCCAGGGCTGGTTGATGAGGGTTATATATGCCTTAGTGTCCATTGTCTTCCCAAGGTGGGATGCTGGCTTGAAAGACTCCTTTGAGTACTCGCAATGACTTTGGGACTTAACCATGTAATCTCATCAAGGGATACTGGGGTGTTATCGACAAGGATGAGGTTAGGCTTTTGGGAATAACCTGTAGAAACTCATAAGCTGGTTCTGCTCCAGTCCACCATCCATTGATGCTGGGGTTTTCTGGATAGACTGGGCATCATGGATTTGGCAGCAGTTCTGATAGCATTGAGAAACAGAGCAACTTGCCTTTCAAAGTAGAGCTTTTCCAATTCTACTGGCAGCTCTGAGGCAAGTGGCCCAGGTTGCTTTGGAGGTGAATCAGAGCCTGGGGGTGGACGAAGCTCCCAGTTCCAGTGCTTTCTATTGTTGTCATATAGGCTGACCAGGCTGTCCTCTGACAAGCCACTCTGGTTGAAGGGGGTGGAATAGCTATGGACAGATGCAGGAATTGTTTTCAGAGGGACAATCAGGGACCTGGGAGCTATGGAGGTGAATGTATCTCTGAAGGACTCGAAGATAATATTTGTAACATAACTGAGGCTCTGAGGAGAGCTAACTTGTATCTGTGGTTCACAGATGATGGTGCCCTCAAGTTCTGAAGCAGTGAACTTGTCCATAACATGAACTGTGCAGCCATGTTTGGGTGGGGGGAGAGAATCGATCAGCTTATAGGTACCATCTATTGTTCGATATCTGTTTTTGTTCAAGTCTTTGGACATTTCTGAGGGTTGTTGACAAGTAGGGTCACATGTTCAAAAATGGTGCCACCACTCAAAATACTGATGCATTTCAACATTAACATGTAATAAGCTCTGGTATATGGTAAGGTAACATGTATGTTGACTAGATGGGAGGAGAGTCCGAATGACTTAGGGCAAAGTATGTATTTCTGTCAAAGTATTTGTTGAGATAGAATTCAGTAGAATGCTTGAAGGAGTTGTATGCTGTCAATTGATTATCTGCAGTTTGCCTGAAGCGAGGTATGAGATGTGCAAACACCCAGACCTGACTGAGTGGGATGACATCGCCAAGATGCTGGCCATTTGCTCTCTTTGTATGCCTAAGGATATGTAGGTGTGTTGCATCTTCAGCTGCTATGTCAAAATGTTGTATGTAGACCAAAAAACAGTCTGTCCACAACCATCTTACCCCCCTCTTGCCAAAAGGGCACATCAGGAGATGGAGCTGGCCAACAACATGACCTAAGATACTCTTGTGAGTGACACAGAAAAGTAGTGTGGACCACAAACCTTTCAGGCCACTCTCTGGCCATTTGAAATGGGGGTCCACATTGATGATAGCTGCATCATAGCAGCCAAGGGTCCAGGTCTCACAAGGTGGAGAACAGAAGAGAGTCTGGGCAGGGAGGATGTCCATGATATCATGTATTTCCATGTTCTGCAGCTGCATCTTGTACCAAACCTGCAGATCAGTAAAAGGCAGGGTTGAAGAGCTTGATCCCCAACATTGCCCACTCATAGTGTGCACAGAGCTTGGTCCATACACCTTCTCATGATTTAGAAAATCAACAAGGGTGGCTCAGAGGTCAAGTAGTCCAAACTACTTGGCAGCACCATCAACACTAATGCATTGCAAGGGTGGGTCATAGGAAAGGTTGATCATTGTATCATCTGCAATAAAACTACACAAGGGGAAGGGAATGGAGTCTGGATCCTGGGTCCTGAGGCATGCAGAGATGGCAAAGTAATCAGTGATGGGCTGCATGGGACCTGGCATCTTGGAAACTAGATTCACCTCCTCGTGATCACTGATCTCACTGTCGCCATCATCAGAACTCCCATCCTCAACCTCCAAGGACTTTTCTTCTGCATGACCATGGGAGTGAGTCTTTGATTCATATAATGATGTCACAAGTTCAAATGTCCTACATTTTTCAGCATGATCAAGGTGCTGGCAAATTTGAGGATCATAGTTATTGTTATTGCTAGCTGATGTGGGTGTCTTGATCTCTGATACATGGGTGTGTTCAGTTACATCAGCAGTCCATTGGATGGTGACCCTGACATGCTTCACACTTGGTATGATGCTCTGCATGAGTTCTAACTTGGGGATGTGCCAATTGTCAATGGGCTTGTTTCCCTTACCACATTGTGCACCATGATCAAGTATCAACTGCTTGTGCACATGAAACTCATCCAGTACAGAAGATATTATACAAAGATTGTTGTTGTCAATGTGGTAAGCTTGGACTCGGTATTGGAAGTCCATGAGTGCACAAATAGCAGTAATGATTTTGGGAGGGGCTGCTCCAGTGATAACACTGATGATGTAATGTTGGACATCACAGTGCATGCATCCAGTCACCTGCTTCAGCTTAGCAACACCACCTTTAAAGTGACAGAATCCTGCAGTAGGCTGTAAAACTGAGAAGCAAAAGTCGATTTTGGCTTCACCAACTGCATTTATGCACCACTTCATGTCGTGGTCCCAAAATTCCTTGTGCAGGTGGTGATGGGGCTCCAGAGTTATAAAAGTGCTTGGACAAGAAAGTGGAATGTCCCTTCAAAATGGGTCACTAACTCTGCTGAGGTGGAAGTGCTATGCTTCACAAAAGAAGACTTGGATGTTTGTAGGGTGGACCTTCAATTTCACCACTGCAAGCTGAGCCAAAGTGGTGGACACAGTTCATGGCTCACATCGGAATGGGTCTCCAAACTGTTTGTACATCGCCATGGTGATTGGGGAAGTCTTTCCCCCAACAGCTGCAAGCATGGCAGCCTTGGGAGTGTTGGTGATATAACCCACGATTGGTGTGAAACAGTACTGCATGTGCCCCAGAGAATCTGGTAACATAATGCTGAGTTTGGCAGCTTGCTTGATGGGTTCAAGTACAATATCCAGGCATTCATGAATGAGCCTATCTTCGAGGAGGCCATGCATATGCTTGTTCTTGTGCATGAACTTGGGGATGGGGAGGAGAGCAGCGAGCATAAATGAGTTGGATGACAATTTTAGGCATGTGGACATCTTGATATTTGCTAGGCTGATGAGAAGTGGATGAGCAACTCTGCCACCACATAAAGTAGTAACATTTGTCTTGTCTGAAGAAAGTATTGTGCCAAGAAGAGTCACTCTGCTTGGAAGCTGTGACTGGGGTACATCAATTGAATAAAAGGATCTATAACTCGCAGTGGAAACATGCCTGCATATGCCAAGCATTATCAGCGGTCATCCACTTTGTATACACCCTACAAAGCTTCTCAGGTGTTTTGTATACATGCCTCAGAATGAAATTGAGCTGGTCAGAGAACAAAGGGTGGTTGAGGGGCCACACAATGCATTCCAGGGGATCATGCCAGTACAAGTGCACAGGGTGTTTGGTTGGCTGTGAAGGAGTAATCTCCATTGAGTGCCAGCATGGCCCACCAGGCAGTAACTCAGCCAGCCCATGAAGTGCTCTGGCTGTATGAAAGGAAATATTTAGTAGCTGTATCTGGTGCACATCAATAATGATCTTCAGAGAGAATAGGGACAGGCTTATGATTGACAATGGCAAGAAAGAGTCTATAGCTCTCATGCTCAGGCCTGAATGAAGTAACCACAATGCCAGCTCCCATTCATTGTGGGAGTTGAAGGGGTAGTACATATTTGATGCCTGTAGGTTGCTGAACTGGTTGCCATTAAATTTGTCCATAAACATTGGGCCAAGTCCAAACATTTTAGCTGTGCCCTTGAAGTCATCTGTGGTTGGCCCCCATGTGTCAAATGCCATATGAACAAAATCTGGGTAATCGTGAGTTGCATAGTCATTGGGGTTAGTGCTCATCAGGACATCTTCTAAGTGTGTTGGGTGTTGAGAGTTATGAATGTTCAAGCTCAAAGGTTGGAGAGACTCATGAAGGTGGACTAAGTTATTGACCCAGGTATTGCACCCAGAGGACAGCTGGCTCATGTGCATTGTGACAGCACTGTGACTCTGGAAGCTGTCTTTACCACAACTTGGACAGCAGGGCATACTCTAGATGGTCAGGCAGGCCAATTCTGTGTTACATGATTATCACTTCAGTGTGAATCAGGATGTTGTTCAGATTGCTATGGAGTGTATTTCTCATATACTACCCAATCACATCCCATTTGCAAACATAGTCACTCAGTGTCTGTTTATAACCTCAATCACACACACCTTCATGCTGGATTGACCATGCCCATGGTTGAGTGTCACCCAGGCAGCAAAGGACTGCCCCATAAGCCTTGTGATAGCAGGTTCTCTTCCTGCAACAGCCCCTCTAGTAGGTGCCAAGGTCAAAGCAGAGACAACTGGTGTCTTAGCTGAGATGTATGGAATATTGGAGTTGTCCACTCACACAGTAAGTTCTTTTTTTCCTTCCTAATAACTGCTCATTGATAGGTTTTCAATCTGCAGCATGAATCAAAGAGTCAGCTGAATCACAAGGCACTTCTCCTTCTCAATGTAGCACATGCACAATGCAAAGTCTTTCATGTGGAACAAGCTCTGGTGACATGCATTGCCCATGAATATGAATTGATGGCCAAGTTGTACAAGTACAAGGTAGGCAGCAGCAAGGCAAGAGTCCACTGAAAAAGATATGGAGGTCAGCTCATTATGTGTAGCAATGAAAAAACACAGACTGGGGGAGCCTATTTTCAACATTAGTGTTTTGGCCAGTGAGCTGCAGCCATCTCTTGAGTCTGATGGTATGCTATGCTCACTCTTTTCTTTTGGGCCACTATTTTACTTAGGCTGGATCTTGATAGGCACAGTTATTGAGCATGCTGGTAGTCAAATACTTGCCATTTGTCTAGACTAGTACTATCCATTACTTTCCTGTACTTATTGAAAAATGCTGTATGTTATGTTTGTGTGTTGTTGTTGTTGCCTTCATGCATATGAACAAAGTTAGATCTACCAAGTTCTCTACTACAGTGGGAATCTAGGTTGCTGTATTAGCTAGGTGTGTCTGTTCCCTTGTATGCTAGGTAGCTATTGGTCTTTGGATTGCTGGTATCACTGGTGTGGCTTACTCAGGTGCTATGAGTTGCTTGGATGCTGGCTGCTACTTTGGGCAAGTCTGGTGTAGTCTACTCTGGCACTATGAGTTGCTAGGATGCTTGACATTGCTTTGGACTAATATGGAATTGTGCAAATACTATGGGCAGCTATGAGTTACTAACACATTTTTGTGTTTTGCTGATGTATTAGGTCATATGAATCCAGGTTCACTATGTCTAGAATGTGCTTCTCATTGATATTCTGATAAGAGATGCTGGGTGAGGTCATAGCCTTTACTTTACTATGGGACCCAGAGACTGCTAGCTGTGGGTTGAGTGGCCAGTCAAGAATATCAAGTGGTAACTGTAATTGGTCCACCAATGTAGTAGATATGAAGTCTGAGAGCAAGCCTGAGTCTAACAGGGCCTGGCATGGCTGGTCATTGATCTTCACTACCACAACAATGGGTTTTGGCAAAACCCATGGTCTGCCCTTGACCCATGCAGAATTCCACTCAGTCACTGTGTCACTAGACTTATGTTTCTGTTTCATGCCAGGGAGATTGGTTGCAGCACATGCTAATGTATTCACTGTTCCAGTATAGTTATCCAAGCAGTAGCTGTTGCCATTACATGGTGTAGATGCCCTAGCTTTGGAGTTTGTGAAGCTTGAAATGCACAGGTTCCACTGCTTGAAGAGGAGCTCATCATATCACTCAGACTTCTTCAGGTGAAGCCATCACACGATGTCAAAATCAGGATCTATGAGGTCTGAATAATACAGCAGGTGGTCTTTGTTAGTGTACCAGTCAATAAGGAGGTATGTTTCTGGTCCTCCATGCTCTGATATTTCGAAGTGGCCCAGCTGGAAGGGTGAGTTGCTGGGGATGTCTGTCTGGTCTAGGGCAAGGGGAACAGCATCATATAGGGTTGCAATGGCTTGTGCTTTTACCAAGTCCCTTTTAGCTTGTTGGAGCTCAGGTGTCTCAGAACACACTATAGATGTGGCAAACAGGCCCAAGTCAGTCCCTTCCCTTAGAGCAGCCAGTTGTACTTGTTCCACCGAAAGTCCCACAGAGTTTACTGTTATTTTCCTATTGCTATAAGGCTTAGTGCAGGTCTGCCAGCACTTCAGACAGTTCTGCTCAATGTGGTTAGTTGCTTCACAAGAGAAACATTTCCCTTCAGCATGGAGATGCTGTTTCCTTTCCTTGTCAGGTTTCTTATCCTGGGCTCTGCCCATATTGTTATCACTCATAGTTGATGAAGTTTTTACAGTGGCAGTGCTGATTTGATCTGTGGTGTGTGTGTTGAATTGGCAAGGGAGTTTTCTATTTCTGGGCTTGTGGTTTCCAGCTTGGTGCTGATGCTGCTCCTCATCAATAACACATTTTGCCTTCTCATACCTGACACACTCAGACTCAAGAGTCACTAAGGAGATCATGGTGGCATCATACCCATTCTTGGTGAGTTCCACTCATAGATAAGGTTGGCAGCACCTCCAGAATGCTAACATGACCTCATGTTCACCTATGTCTCTGACAGTGTCTGCTATTTCTTGAAGTTGGCACAAAAAGTCCAACACTGAACAGTGATCCTGTTGGCATGCATCAAATTTATTGTGTTGCTGCATCTGGAAATCTGCTGGGAATATGTAGTTGAAGAGTGCCTCAAAAAATTCAGTGAGGGAATATTGTTTTCTCAAATCTAGGATGTCCCTTTCATAGAACTGGTAAGCACACCCACTCAAGTATTTCCTAGCAATATGGATACTCTTTTTGCAGTTCAAGCATGCATGTCATACCCAATCATGAAGCTCCCAACACCATTTCTTGAATAGTCCAACCTGAACTTTGCCTTTGTATGTGAACAGTGGGTCTTCCTTGAGGAATGCCTGCTGATACCTCAGTTTGTTCAACTTAGCCTGGTAGCATCGCTTCTTCTCACACTTCCATGCCTTTGTTTGATCTGAATCAGCTGTGATTGTGCTAGATGGTTCCTCTCCTAGGAAGTCAGACCCAAATGAGGACAAACCATCTGTGTTCGAGGAGTCACCAGTCAAAGATGAAGAGTCAGATGAAACCCTGGGCACAATTGGTCTGCAAGGTGGGCCTCCACTACTTGGGAAGGGGTTCCTGCTACCCTCCCTGCCACCAGATCTGGAATCCAATGAGTCTGGGTCATTGTCATCAGGGTCCCCACGCATTGCTCTCAGTAGCATGCTCTGGTGGGGAAACACACTTGTTGCATGGGCTAATGGGGTGGTTCTACAGCCAGATACATTGGCATATTCTTTCTTCTCATTTGGTAATGTCAGGCCTTTATGTGTCTTATCATTCATGAAGTTGAGCAAGTTCACAGCTTCAATATTCTCTTTCTGTTCTGGTCTGAGCCCAAATCATCCTATTCTTGCTTTGTTGCAAAGATTCTCCTTTCTTAGAGAATTAATAATAGCTTACTGCTCTTGAATGATTGTCATTGGGTTGTTGTCACCACTGCCATGGGGGAGGATAAAGGGTAAGTCATTCTCATATGCTTTGATGGCTCTGCCATCTTCAATTGTGCAGCCCTTCCTTTTTTTGGATGGCACAACCTGTGGTTCACCCATCATTGAGCTGCTATCAACTTGTGGCTGTGGTGCTATGGGTTGAGTCCATTCCTGTGGGATCTTGCCAAGGTAAGAGTCATCTTCCTCAAATGTGGACCAGTCCAGCTGTCTCACTGGTGCTGGTGTGGATTCCTTCATGTGTGGTATGTCCAGCCTTACCCACTCTTTGGGTTTCTCTGGTTGATAGCTCTCATTCCATACTACAGGCCTTTGTAGTTTAAATTTATTAGCAGGAGCTGGTGTCTGTACCAAATCAAGATCCTCATTCATTTGCAACTCAGCATCCATCTTGACTACTGTGTTGAGGTGCTGGCACCAGACACTGTCATTGTTTACAGTGCCTGTTGGTTCTCGGATGATGCAAACTGAAAATAATGCATATTCGTCCGTACTGCAGTCTGGAGACTTGGGAACCATGGGAGAGGTCACCTGACAGATTTGCATCTCATCAGTGATGCTCTCCCCATTCTGCTCAGTCTCACCAAATACCCAGGGGCCAATTGCCATGGGTTCCATGGTTGAGCACTGATGCTTTATCTCACTGTTGACACTAGCTGGAGTAAAGGAAAACATGTTCAGCAAGTCACAACTAGGTGACTACACACTCAGTTGATCAGACCAAGATGGAGTTTGATGTCATCATGAAGGGTTTCGATTAGAGGGAGCAGAGCAAAGAGAGAGGGAAGAGGTAGTTCAAAATATGTGACAGTCACAGGACTTGGTCACACTAGTAAGAGTGTTTCTGTTGAAAGGTCTCAAGTGTCATTCATCAGAACTGGCCAAGGGTCTCTTGATAAAAAACTGCCCCCTCCTACCTACTACATGAGTCTTTATATACCTACATACATAAAGGACTGTACTAAAAAGGAAGTATCAAGGCTGACATATTGTACTTGGTTCCATTGTCATATCTGCAGGAGTGTGGGTTGTTACAATTTTCAACTCCAACAAGCTGAATGGTGTAGCATCATTACAGTAGTTTTAGCAGTATATCAAATAATTAAATAGCTAAGTCTTGAAGAACAATGCCCTGCAAATCTCTCTGCAAAAATCTCCTCAGACAACTTGATGAAGCTAGCTTGGAAGTAGCAATGGCCAGGCTGGAAAATGCACATCTTGAAATTGATAGTAGTGATGATAGTGATTCAACTGCAACATATGGGGATTCTGATTCATCTCAGAGTGTCCTCTTCATTACTCTGCTGTCTCTGATCTCTCCAATCTTGATGGATTCCAACTCCGGCGTTTCTGATGATACAAACTTGATAGTTGAGAGGGATAGGTGGTGTGGACAGCTCCTGAATGTGATTGAGGCTCTGAAGGATGAAGTAGAGCATGCATGGGTTCTTGAAAAACCTGCTGTAGCATTGATGCAGTCATCACAGCTCAGCCTGCTTGACCATTTTGCTGACCATCACCCTCATCTGTTCCTTAGATGCCTTTGTGTATGGCCAGAAGTTTTTGATCACATCCTTGATCAAATAAGTAGCCACCCAATATTTCATAGTGGCTCTGAAAATCATCAGTTGCTGGTTGCCATTCAACTCACAACTTTCCTTTTCTGTGTGGGGCATTATGGGAATGTGGCATCACCAGAGGATGTGGCCCAGTGGGCTGGGGTTAGTATGGGATTGGTGATCAATTTCACCAATCAGGTCATGGTTGCAATACTGGATGAGCATGACACATTTGTCAATATTCCCCCTCACAACTTGGAGGATATGGAAAGAGCATGTACCTTCACTGAATCATGGACATGTCTGGCATGGAGAAATGGAGTCTTTGCTGCAGACAGCTCATTGATTCTGCTCTTTGAAAAGCCCCAAATACTTGGGGAGAGCTTCTATGACAGAAAATCAAGGTATTTGCTCAATTGTCAGGTGTGTATTCCAATGCATGCAAAATGGAATACTTACCACTCATAGCTTGTTATCATGCTGCATAACCTACTTGTGGTTGACTATGGGCTTGATCACCCTGGAAGTGTCCATGATGCATGGGCATTTCAAGGTACTCACATTGCATCATGACTGGGAGACCTTATCCCTGAAGATCACTGGACCTGGGCAGATAGTGCATATCCCATGGAGGAATGGTGTGCTGTTCCTTTTAAAAAACCCAAGGGCAGGCAGCTATCTTGCAATCAGAATTTATATAACAAATATCTTTCTAAGGTGATACTCACCTTGTATTGGTATGCATGCTAATCACATTGAAAGGTCTGCATCCATGTTGAGCACACATTTGCTGCCTTGAAGGGTCGATTTCAGAGTCTCTGTGAGCTGTGCTTGAAAATCTGGAATGAGAGGGATGTTAAGGTCACAGTTTACTGGGTAATGTGTTGCATCATCTTGCATAATGTGGTGATTCATTTTGAGGAGGAGATGGTTAGCATCATCAAGCCCTTGAGTTGGTGGGCAATGGAGGAGGGGTTGGGCCAACAGGACAGTGACATGGTCATGATAGGAGAGGCTGTGGGAACACCAGGTCAGTGATTTCAAATGAGGCTGTTAGATGAGCTGTTCCAATATCTGGGGTGCAAATGTACCTAGTGTAAACAGACCAAAATGGTCACCATATAAAGTTGAAGGAGCATAGCTAGCAATGCTGTAGGAATCAGCTAAGTCCCACCCATTGAAGACAAGGGTATGTAAGGGTCTTCACAGGATCCAGGTGCTTTATGACTGACCTTGGAGAAGTCACTCATGATACCACACACATTTTGCAAATGAAATGTACCCTACATTGCATCTTGATACAGTGTTGGGGTGAGTATGGGGGAGATGGAGAAGTAATACAGTACAGGGAGAGTATGTACTTAACAATTGTGCAATGCACTGGGACTGCAACACAAGTACAACAGAGAAGATGATGAGCTGAGCCAAGATGCAACAATGGATTAAAAAAAGAAACAGACATGATCATGAAGGGTGGCTGGCCTGAGCAGTGGGGTTGGAAGATGTTGAGCCAGAGCTGCTGCCACTCTTCATGAGCTCTGCAAGTTGAATCTTGAGTCAAAGGGCCTCATGAAGGTGTTTTCTTTGGCATTCTTCAGCTTGATATTGAGCTTCCAGAGCTCCTGCTCCCTTTGATGCTTATCCTCCATGTCTTTCCACTGCATCCTGAGCTGCTCCTTCCTCAACTGAAGCTCCTGATCCTTCAGCATATACTGCATTTTTGCCAGGTACTGTGCAGTCTTACCAGAAGATGAAGATGCTAGTATTGACTCAGCCTCTTGACTCAAGTCAATGACCTGGCTTTGAAGTTGAGACTTGTTGCAAGTGACTAGGAGAGAACTTGCCTCTGTTGATGTTGTCTTGGATCATGAGGACCACAGGGTCCTCATGACAGCCTTCCCCTTGTGGGAAGAGCTAGATGATGATGATGCAGAGGAAATGACACTTTTGGTAGAAGTGGGGGGATGAAGGTATGGTGATTAGCAGAATGCAGAGTGATTATCTGAGAAAGGTGTGTGAAACTTGTGAGGGAGGGAAAATTGAAACTGCACTTCAGGAGTCAACAGCTGAGGATATGACTGCTGATTCATTAACAATGATCCATTAGTGATGTCCCAATAGAAACACACCTGATCACCATGAACTGACACCAAGTCCATGTTAACATCCTCTCCATCTCCAAAGCCAGGGTCCATGCCTTCCAGATCAAAGATACTATTGGCAAATTCATCCCCCTTGTTCATGACTAGATCACCAACATGAGACATCCTCTCATTGACTTCACCATCCTCCAGATCTCGATCACCATGCATTTCCTCAGTCCCTGTATTTGAAGGGGTACCTTCATCCACCAGAGTGGTGGGTGACCCCACTCCCAAGTCTGAAGTCTTCTGCATACCAGATAATGTATTTTGGACAAGAGCTAAAAAATCTTCAGCATGATTTTTGTCCAGCTCAGAATGGATTGGGTCAGAGTCAAAGGAGGGGTTGCCCTGCCAGATGGAATGCAGATTGTCATACCAGGGTAAAGTGTTGAGAACAGCTTCTGTAATCATACACATCAGCAACTGTAATCCCACTAGATTGATTGATAACTTATGATGGAGATTTGCATAGCTTGCATGACCAGGCATAATGCCTTCCCCTGATTGTTTAAAGCATGCATGGTGTCAAGTCTGGGCCTACTCCAACCAACTCTGACACTGGATGAGGTCCAGGGAGAGGTTTGGAAGCAAGTCCAATGGAAAGAGCAGAACTCTGACTGGCAGAGTGTTGGCAGGAATGAAATCTGCTGAGGTAAGGGTGTTGGGTTTAGCTCATGTGCTACCCCCTTGCATGATCTCAGCCCTCATATTTCAGAGGGGGAGTACAGACAGACAGTTGGAGGTAACTCCAACAGGCAGAAGACAGAGACAGAGGGAGTAGGAACTAAGTCAATATTCATACTGAGGAATGACAGAGTATGATACATGCTTTTATACTACCACAGAGGTATGGTAACTGGAATCAGAACTGACATATGGAGACCCAGCAACTTTCAAGTAAAACTTCCTAGACAACGAATGAAGGGTAGATGGAGGACATACAAACAGGTAACATAGAACATCCAAAAAAGGAAACAGTCCAGGTGCTGGACCATGCAGTGCATGCACTGTGGAGTACCTGACTGCAAGCTGTCAGGGAGGAGTCTGAAGGTAGTCACATGACTCCTCAGGGAATGGTCCATTTAGTCTGGTAGGAGAGCAGTACAAGTCCAACAGCAGCTGGAGTGGAGATGGCTTGTAACTGACAGAAGTTGGGCAGAGTTGGTGTGGAGTGAGTGAATGACCAGTGGAAAGGGGTGCAGAGTGAGTGAGGACTTAGGATGAATGCACAACCATGACAGTGCCCCCCCCCTAGGACCTGAACCCCTGAAGGCCACATGTATGAGATGAGATCAACACGAGTTGATCATTTGAAACCATTTGATGCCTTGAGGATAATGGCTTTAGCTGCAGTGGAGCTCTGTTGGAGTCTGAAGAACCGCTTAAAAACACATGTTAGGGTACTGAACCTTTGTCCTTTCTCCCCATCATCATGTCCTCCCAGTGCCAGAGAAAAACCCCCAGCCACCACCCTGGTCATGTCCACAACTACTCCCAAGTCATGGACAATGAACTGGTTGTCCTTACTGACACCTCCACTGATACTGAGTGGGAGAAGTCCACAGAGAAGGTGCACTGACAAGAGGAGACCAAGCAGAGAGAGAGAGATGCAAGGCAGAGTGCAAGGCCAAGCACAAGGAGGCCAAAAGGTGGAAGGTGGAGGAGGAGAGGTTGGAGGTGGAGCAGAGGAAGAGAGCAGAGGAGGAAGAGGAGGCCCAAAGGAAGAAGGAGGCAGAGAAGGAGGCAGAAAAGCAGAGGCAGAGGGCCTCTGAGGAGAGGGCCCAGGCCAGATGGGACAAGGCCACACAAAGGTGAGTGGTGGAGCACTATGAGTCAGGTGGAGCTGACTTGCAGCTCTACATTCATTAGACTATGCAGCATGGTGTATGATGTCAACACTGCCCAGAGGGTCCCT